ACAGCAGCACAGAGAATCATGCATAGAGAGTGGGAAGGGACCCTCTACGTAGATGATAATCCCTCTACAGTTGTCCTTAATACTTCTGATTCTCACTTCACTGAGGCAACAAGATGAAATGTTGGGGACATTTCATGTGGGAACTAAAAAATATCTGTGCACAGACTATGTATCTATAAACTATAAGCAATGCCAACAGAAGAAACCAAACATGGGAGAGTCAACAAAAACCTCACTTATTTGCATGCTACCCCTTGAGTTCAGTTGTAGATGTCTACTTAGGGCAAAGCCCCCACCTGGACTGTTGGTGGAAAGTCTCATTTTCCTGGGACTGAAGTGAAAGTTGAAAAACTCTCTAAGAAGCTCTGGAGGCCACAAAGTACCTCAGCTGGAGCCCAGTCCTCAAAATAAGGAACACTGGGCTTCTGTTTTTAAATTGGGCCCATCACTTTAAATTATCCCTACTTCTTGTCATGACACAACCTTGAAAGCCTGCTGCTCAGACGTGGTTGCATCAAAGCCTCAGTGGTGTGAGATGGGGCATATTTTAAAATGACAGATCTGAGAAAGAAGCCTTCAGTCCTCTAAATGAATATATTATGAAGATATTATGAAGATGGAAATGAGTCTCAGAATACCCTGCAATCCAATGTTTCTCAATAAACCTCCTGTGATAAATTCTCCCATGTCTAAAGCTCTAATTTGGGGAAAAGTATATGCATCATGCAACCATAGTGGAGAAAAAAAAATTGAAATATGAACCAAAGAAAGACTGGGACCACTGATGCCTTTGAAAGTGGCTACAAGGTCCTGTTACCAAAGCAAGCATGGTTACTAAGGAGGGGAGATGAATGGACAATTGAACAAGTGGCTTCCACTGACCTCAAGTTGGTAAAGATGGGCTTTCGCATATCACACAGATACTCTGCTGCCCTGGTGTTTGAAAAGTTGGAAGGCAGGTGGGAAGGCTTTCTGCCCTGAATGGCTTTCAATGTAATAATACTTAATATTACATTTTGAAACTGTTTCCTCTTTTTCTCAATATTTTCTTGGGACTGTAACCCATTTGTACATAAAATTGGTTGAAAGTGACATTTTGAAAAGTCCAGCAAACATTGCAGCAGGCTCTGTTTTCAAGGAATATGAAATTGGGCTCTGTCTGACACCTTGACTGTGCTTGTGAAAACAGAACGTCACATCTCAGAGGGTTATTCTTGATAGGTTTTCATAAAAATAAAACAAAATAAGCAGACCTCTCCAGGCAAACAGCCTTTTTGTACGCTGGTTTCCATGGAAACACTGGCAATTGTACTTTTTCGTGGCATGGTCTTTCCCATGTAGTTTAAAGTCTGGTTGATGAAGCTCAGTTGAGGATCCTGGGCACTGAGAAAATGCTCTTCATCTTCACCAAGCACATACATGACAGATACTGAAGGAGCACCCTTTCTACAAGCTCAGGCAAAAAAGAAAAGGCATTGAAGAATGCAGGTTGTAGAAAGAAGGCCCCAATTTTTCATGAGTCACACTGTTATCATTATTTTTTTTTTACATAATGCTCCTACTTTGAAAATTCCTTAATTGGATGAAGGAAAAGGAAGGGAGGAAACAAAGGAATTATAATCTTAAACATAAAAGAAATATTTTTTTTAAAAAGAGATCAAGCATGCATTTTTAATCTTGCTCACAAAAGAATTCTACTAACACTTTCTGCTCTTCAGGACAGAGCTTAGTTGCTCACCCTTCACTGTGACTTTCTTCTGAAAAACAGCATGGCAAGAGCCCAACCATAACCCTGTGGAGGACACCCCTAAAAAACACCAGAACTGAAGGTTGCCGTGGGCCCACATAAGCCGTTGTGACCTCCTGTGTTCCTTGACACAGTGTGAGACATGGGTTCCTCACATCTACACACTCCTTCCTCCAAACACTCAATCCAATCCAATCATGGAGTTGAGGTGGGGAGATAAACCCTAATTGATGGTCATACTACAAAATATCTTATTATTAATCTTCTGAAGCTGTCAAGGTCATAAAAACTAAGAAAATGTAAGACATTCATAGGTCAGAGGAGACATGATCATCAATAAATACATTTCCTAGATTTTTATCTTGTAATATAAAAAGCTAAGAAAAAAAACAACTAATTCCCTGACAATAAAAGCTGTAATTTACTGATCAATCTTATGCCAATACGAACCATTCAGTCTAGACCAATGAACTGTGCTCTCCTTTACAAAAAAAATGGAAAAACTGGTTAAGTTGTACATGAGTCAAGTCTCCACTGAGTATATCCAAATCTCAACAACTTAAAAGAGTTTGGAAACACGAAAGCAGTCTTATGTATGGTACAAATAAGCTGTCACTTTGGACAAGTATGCCACATTCCTCAACCTCAGTTTCTAATGGTGCAAAATGGTGACAAGCATACTTCCCTCAAAGAGCTCTTGTCAGTATGAGATGATGTGAGAGGGAGCATACTTATAAAGGGGTTAGATATCAGCCATTGTACACTGAAGGTTATGAATGCTTTCCTGGTTCTTCTGGGGATGGTTTGTTGACAGCATCACAATTCTTTTGATATTTCTATATAATATTCTTTGTCCTTCCTTTATGACTCACAGGCCTTAATGGCTCACATTCTATAATGATGTCTGGTCATAGAATTTTCTCCAATAATTTGTGATAATAAATAAATGTCTAAAATGTTAAGGAAAAATATCAATAATATATCATCTGAGCTGAACACACACACATACACACAAAGTATTGCAATCAGGTCTGTGGAGGAAACTACCTACGGAACCTTGAAGATGCTGATGAGCACCAAAGAGAAGGGTCTAGAGAATGACCACAGGGAGCTCATGGGACTTGGTCATAATATAAAATTGTTATTGATATAAGAATGTTCATGGGCTTTCTCTTGTCAACCCAAGAGGCAGTGAGCAACTATTCTGATTTTAACTGTTCCCAGTTTCTCCTGAGAAAGAACAGTCTCAGGTTGGCTTGATCAAAGGTTTTGGAGGATGGGACGAGAAAACTAACAAAAGAGAAATTGAACTAAAGTATAAGAAGGAATTGTAAGTTGGGCCATTCTGAAGAGTAAAAATGGTAGCAGAGAGATGTGGGGTCCAGGTGGGGAGCAAGGGCCCATGACATAAGAGGTCTTCAGAGCCATAAGGAAGAATCTAAACTTCTCCAGAGAACTAGTGAAGCCACTGAAGAGATCATTAGATCAGTAACACAGGAAGTGTTATAAACAGATTCCTTAGAAAACAATTAATGAAAACCAAGAGTTTCTACCTTACTTATGTCTCCCCTAAGTGTGAGGCTTGTAGACTCTTGAGGAGGAGGGCAGGTGTTAGTGGAGTCATTATGCTCATGAATATACTATGCAAGTCAAAACAAATGCCCTGTGAGAAAGGAACTGGAGCTGTGGTTACTCTGCATGCTCTACACCAGATATGTGGGACAAACTTCACTGGCCTGCTGGAATTGAAATGAGAGGTGGAGACATCCTGGTGTCTACCAGGAAGTCTGCAGTTTATCAATGTGTGGGGATCCTATCACACTTTCTCCTTTTAAACATAACAGAGGAGTTGGTGGAAGGTCATTGTATACCTAAAAACAAACCCTCACAAAGCTGGGTTTCTACTTCTTAAACCACCTTCCTGCCCACTTCTACTATGTGAGCTCCACCAGAATGTCCTTATTAATGACTGAGTACCTTATGTTTTTTTTCCCTCAAATTGGGAAATTCCAGGTTTAAGTTAGTGAGAAACTTTATTTTCCAAAGATCTACTGGTAGGTGCCAGCCTTGCCCTCACAGTGGCATTGAAATTCTGGTCACCATTCAACGATTTGACCCTGAAGACAAGTGAAACTGAGAAGTTCTCCAGCCCTGAAATAACTGGGCCCCACTTTCCTCAGACCTGAGGTACCAGGTATTTTTCCATGTAGAATTGGCCTGGAAATGCAAAGGAAAAGTTCATACAGGGACACAGTGTCTGCTTGGCCTGACCATGTAGGGCTGTTTGCCTTAACCATACATTTTTTATTGTCCAGTTAAGTTTTGAGTAATTCTGTTGATGTGACTTTCAGCCCTTCCCATGGGCTGTGACTCATTCCACCATCAAATTAACAGCTTTTTTGGAAAATGTGTTTTCATGACTTGGCCAAAAATTTCCATGGCTTAATTTCATCCCTTGTTTCCCACAGAAACTCTTTGAACAAGTCCCATGATTGTGCAAATGAGAAGAGTCTTTATTTCCAGCCATGGCAAATGCCTGACCAACCTATCACTTTCAACTCTTCTCAGCACCACACTTTCAGGCCTCTACCTAACCCTCCTGTCTGCCATCAGCTCTCCCGGCAGTGATCTACTTCATGGGATCCTGAAGCCTCTGATACATTAAATTATTGAAAGTCACCTAGAAAAAAATAAAATGTGCTCAAGCTGCATGTTATGACACCTGGAAATTTAACTAAACTGATTTCCCCCTTGCTTCCTTTGTTTAAAAGTTGATGATTTTAAACTAAAGGACTTTCTGTTATCTTCTACCAACAAAGCTGAAGAGCCCAATGCACAAAAATCAATATGAAACAAAGTACGAGTTTGTCTATAAAATTCATACCTGGGGCATATGTAAAGCAAAATCTTGACCACAAATAAGAAAGATGTGTGCAATGTACTAATCAACTGCTTCTTCAACACCATATAACAAGCCAGCCAGGAGCAAGAGACTAGCACCAATATGCATTATTATACTTGAATAAATGTGCCAGCTGTGCTTGGCTTCAAGTCACAGGTAAGTTTCAGATTTACCCAGTTTGTCTCTCATTTTTATGGAGAATGGTTTCCTCACAGTCATCACGAGAACCAAGAGCTAAAACAACCTACAGGAGTACAATTAAGCCTCTGCTTACGGACCATCCTCTAATATTCTTTTGGCCAAACTATGCCACATGGAGAAGCTCAACATCAAAGGGACTAATATACTTACCCCATCCACAGGAGGAGAGCAATAAATATTTCTGAAGAATCATCCAAATCATTACATATAGCTTTCTTCTTTGACTGCTGACCTAAAGATAAAACAATTTCTAGAAGGTACATTGTAAAGGAAAAATTAGCTTTAGGAGAGAGCTGGGGATACAGCTCAATGGGAGAGTAATTACCTAGAATGCACAGATCATCGGGTTCAATCTTCAATTGCAAGTAATAATAACAATATAATAATAATAATAATAATGGTAATAATAAATAGAGGTAACTTACCTGCCTTAGCCTCTTCAGACAGTTAGTAATAAAATTCTCTGGACTGAGTAATTGATAAACAACATGATTTATATAGAAGTCCAGCAACAAGGGAGAGCAGATTCAGTGCATGATGAACACTTTCCCTCTGCTTCCAATATGGTACATTCTTCCTGCTTCTTTATGGGCATTGTGATAAAACAGCTCCTGTGAACCCTGTGAAGAAAAGATGCTCTTCTCATTCATAAGAAAGGAGCCTTAAGCCGGGCGGTGGTGGCGCATGCCTTTAATCCCAGCACTCGGGAGGCAGAGGCAGGCGGATCTCTGTGAGTTCGAGGCCAGCCTGGGCTACCAAGTGAGTTCCAGGAAAGGCGCAAAGCTACACAAAGAAACCCTGTCTCGAAAAACCAAAAAAAAAAAAAAGAAAAGAAAGAAAGGAGCCTTATAGTTACTACTTTCTAAAGTCCTAATCTTGTAATACATTGAATATTTAGGTTTTAACACATAAATTTGATGGAACACCATCATTCATACCATAGTATTACCTATATGACAGTTTTCATGAGACTACAAGTAATTGAGCAGCTATGGATAATTGCATAATATAATGTTGATGAATGTTGACTATATACTATGCAATATTTTGGATTCCTTTTCATTCATTAATTTTTTAAACTAAGTTATCTTAAAAATACCCTGTCCTGATGTTTACTTTATACAGAACACCCTGGACAGAATTAATTCTAAAGAGAACATCTTTCTCATTTATACCATCCAAAACATGTTGGTATAAAAATATTCCATCATTATTCCAAGACCCAGGTTTTCCAGCAAAGTCTAAATGAAGTATAATTACCCACTTAAGAAGGGTACTCAAAAAAATAAAAATTAGGAAAGATTAAGTGATAGCTCATAGTGGTGTCAATATGAACCCAGATATGCCACAGGCCAAAGTCAATGTCTTCTCAATATATAATATGTCCTTGGGTATAAATGAGAAAGGAAAGAAAACTGGAATGAGAGAAAGAAGGAAGAAGAGATGAGAATATGAATTTACAAAAGCATAAAAATTGAGCATATATGAAACAAATCTATATGATACACAGCACTTTCAAATAGAAACCAAGGAAAACCAAAATTTATTTTCCAACTTTTGAGTAGTATGTGTGTAGATGTTGTGATTTGAAGTGAAATGTGCCCCATAAACTCACTTATTTGAACACTAGGACCCCAGTTGGTGGTGCTGTTCGGGAAGGTTAGGAGCCTTTAAAAGGTGGAGCCTTCATTGAGAAAGCTGATCACTGGGGACAGGTCTTGAGGCCTTATGGCATGGCTACACTTCCTGTTCATCTTCTGCTTCTGAGTATGAATGCAATGTGACCAATCAGCCTCCTGTTCCTAACACCACTTCTTCTGGGCCGACTGCTATGTCTTCCCATTATAGATTGTACCCTCCTGGAACTATAAGCCAAATTAAGCCCTTTCTGCCTGTCTTAGTCACATTTCTTTTGCTGTGATAAGACACCATGACCAGGGTAACTTAGAGAAGAAAGAGTATATCTGAGGTTTACAATTTCCAAAGGTTAGAGTCCATGACCATCATGGCAGGGAGCATGGCAGCAAGCATGGCACTGGAGCAGTAGCTGAGAGCTTACATCTTGATCCTCAAATGTGAAGGAGATAGAGAGTAAGATACTGGAAATGGTAGAAGTCTTTGAAACCTCAAAACCTGCCCCTAATACCACACCTCTCCAACAAGCCCACACTTCCCAATCTTTCACAAACAGTTCCACCAAGTGAGAACCAAGTATTCAAACTATGGGCCTGTAGAGGGCATTCTCATTTCAACCACCACAGTCCCTGAAGTTGTGTGGGTTGGGTTTTTTGTTGTTGTTTTGTTATGTTATGTTTTTCAGAGTATCACAACACGGAAGCAAACTAAGGCTACAGATTCTTTTGTTCGCTGTCCATGCAAGACTCCATGTTAACTCAAGTCTCCAGCAAGCAAGAAGGCAGCTTCTGACTGTGCCCACAGCTGACAAGTAAGCTTATCCAACTAACCATTTTGTACAAATGGCCTCAGAGGCTTTGTCACAAGCCCAGTGCACTAGAACCATACAATTTTGTCCCAGGGTACTTCATCTCTACTTGCCCTAGGCCTTCAGCACATATTAGTCTTGAGCATGCCCTTCCTCTAGGCTCTGTGTGTCTGTCTGCTTGACCTTTTTTCTACTTGGAATTCATCACCTCCTCTCATCCCAACTTGAAGGACTTTTTACTCATCTTCTAATGTCCAAAAGAATTGCCCTTGTGTGGCTTAGATCTTAAATGCCCCCTCCTCAAACACCATGAGTCGAAGGTTGGATGCCAGCCTGTGACACTGGTGAAAGGTGATGGAACCTTGAAAGGTAGAGGACAAGCTATCCTTGGGAAGAGGTGAACATGCTTTTGGTATGCCCAGAGGAAGAAACAGGAAATACTGAGAACTTTTTCTTACCTGCCTGAATTATTCTAATTCTTTCTTAAGCCTCATCTTCTCAACACATGCCTCTACCAGGCTTACATACCTTCCCAAATCTAAGAAAATGTGTGTGTGTGTGTGTGTGTGTGTGTGTGTGTGTGTGTGTGTGTGTGTGTGTCTCCTGACTATCAGCTCAAAGCTAGTTTGAGGCCACTCACAAGACCTTGTGCTTGAAGTTAGTGACCGAAGTTAAGTTACAGCGGCTACTGTTCTAAATCGAATCAGCTGACTGTAGGATGCACACAATCTCTTATCTTCTCTTACTCCCACCTCTCACATATGCCTCATCACCATAATTGTCAAGCCCCAAGGCAGACTGCAAATCCAGTCCATGCCCCACATCATTAGTACCCCATCCCTACTCCAAATTCCTACTAAAGCTTTCAGGAGGCTAACTGCCCTTTCTGCTTCCTCTCCCACCTCCCAAAAGCCAAAGTTATAATTGTTTAGTATAAATTAGAATATATCATTTCTCTACTCAAAACCTCAAATGGCATCCAACAGGTTTAGCTTAAATGCAAATCCATACAGTTTCCACTAGGTTCTGGGGTGTATAGGCCTGCCTCCTCCTCTCATTTCCCTCTACCTGACAGGGACCACTGGGTTCTGCAACCCTGCCCTTCAATACATTCCTTTCACGTATCACACTTGGCTCTAACTCAAGGTCTTCGCACTTGATAATTCTTCGGCCTTTGCATTCCCAGTCTGCTTCTCAAATAGGGTTCTCCAATGCTCTAGTGAAAGTGGAAATAATTACATACATGTATAAACACATGAGCACACAAACACATGCAGTCATATAGACATAAACGTATACATATTCATGCATACATACAAATTAACAAACACCTCATATATACACATAAAAACATGCACATTCTCATATGCACATAAAAAGATAAGTTTCCATAGATACATGTGTAAATTCACACAGACATACACACATGTATGCACAAAGATATAGCAACATACACTTATCTACACATATAACATGGGCATTCATAGACGTATATACATAGGAATACATCAATAGGCACAGATACACACAGAGACACACATATCTAAACCATCATAAACATAAAGTTAAGAGTTAGTTACACAGTTCCCGGCCAGTTCCTGCTAAACATTTGATACTTCGTTTGTTCTCCAAAACTGTGTTATCTACTATAGTTTCTCAACATCCACATTTCTCTGGAAAGTCTTGTCTCAGTTTAAGAGGTAGGAGGATATTAAGAAGAAAGGTCATTTTTCATTGTTTTGAAGCAGTCTAGAGAGTTGCCTCTTTAGCCCAATGCTAAGATTTTTATTTAGCTCTCTGGTCTTTACCAGAAATGAGAGCTCATGTTGACAGCCTGAATCCTACAACAGCTGAAAACCCAAGGCTTGATTTGAGGCACCTGAGAGCCAGTGCTGCGATTCTTACAAATATTACAGGTCTTCTGGAGCCTATGAATCGCCTCCATTTAAACTCAAAAGCCCCAGGACACGGTTCCTGGGGACCATAAACCCTGTGATACCAGCCATAACAGCTCCCCTGGCAAGAAGAAGCTTTACATCCTGAGGCCCATAAAGGACCTCGCCTGACCCTTAATATCAATTGGAGCTACATGTGCCTGTGAAAGAAGCACAGGCCTGGAGCCGGGAGAGCCTCACCCTGCCTGGCAAATGCTGTAGACTTGCCAGTCCCTGCAAGCTTCCCCTCTCCCTCCCTGGGGAGGCGATACAAAACCCAACCACAAGATCCTATGAAAACTGAAAAGCCAGAAAGGTTCACTACACCTTCCTCAGGACACTGTCCTCAGCAGAGCCTGGGACAGACTGTGATACAGCCTGGCCTTGACGGGAACAAAGAACGAGAGGCACTT